ACAATATCAGCAGGTTCATGAGACTGCCATGGCCCACCACCTCCTGAAGGGGAAGACCCACCTGTCTCATGGCCAGGTCGTAAAGGAGTCTTATTACCAACGTGTTTGAAGTGTCGTGAATATTTCTGGCTGTAGGCATGAGAGTCTTCCTCCCTATCCTCTCTGAATAAATGCGTATCAATGTCAGTTTTAAATCAGGCCCCTGTTTTAATATGATGTAGACCCTAGTGTTAATTTGACCCTTATTCATAACAGGCCCTAATTTTAATAATGTCTTAATTGGGTCTAATTTTAATAGACCTTAGTTCTATTAGGTCCCAGTTCTAATGGGCCCTAGTTCTAACAGGTTCTAACCCTAATATGCCATAGTCCTTTGAGTCCTAGTGCTAATAGACCCCTAGTGCACACAGACCCTAGTCTTAATGGGCCCACCTGTTTTAATAGATCCCATCTTAAACTAACCAAAGCTGATCTAATCATTAGTATTGAGGTCTGGTTCTAATAAGCCTGATTATAATGGATCCCAGTCCTAATATTGAGTTGAGTTTAGGGTGGGACCTGTTAGGCCTCTCTCTCTCTCTCTCTCTCTCTCTCTCTCTCTCTCTCTCTCTCTCTCTCTCTCTCCACCATGAGCATCAACACGACCCACACAGTAAAATCCAAATGCCAGGTCTCTCCAATCGTGTTAAAAATACCTGTGCAGCGCCTTTTGTTCCATGTCGTTATGTAACCACTGGGATCATTTGCAACCGGATGCAGGAGAAACAATGCCCCGTGTAACCCAGCAACAGGTGAACGTGAGGTGGGGGGTAGGGGGGGGAGAGGGGTGGTAGTGGTGGTGATTGTGGTGGTGGGAGGGAAGGAAGTGGTGGTGGTGTAAAGGGCTGGGTGGTGGTTGTAGTGGTGGTGATGGTAGTGGTGTTTGAGGTGTTGGTGGTATTGGTGGTGTAGCAAGTGGTGTCAGTGTTGGAGGTAGTGGTGGTGTTGGTGGTGTGAGTTAAGGAGTTGGTAGTGGTGTAGGAAGTGTTGGAGGAAATGGTGGTAATATTGGTGTTGTAGGAGGTGGTGATGGCGTTGAGGAAGGTGGTGGTGGTGGCAAGTGGTGGTGATGGTGTTAATGATGGTGATGGTAAGTGGCGTGAAAGTGGTGGTGATGGTAAGTGGTGGTGATGGTAGGGTGGGATGGTAAGTGGTGGTGATGGTAAGTGGTGGTGGTGATGGTGAAGTGGTGGTGATGGTAAGTATGGTGGTGATGGTAAGTGATGGTGATGGTAAGTGTGGTGATGGTGTGGTGGTGGTGGTAAGTGGTGGTGATGGTAAGTGATGGTGATGGTAAGTGATGGTGATGGTAAGTGGCGGTGATAGTAAGTGGTGGTGATGGTAAGTGGTGGTGATGGTAAGTGATGGTGATGGTAAGTGATGGTGATGGTAAGTGATGGTGATGGTAAGTGGTGGTGATGGTAAGTGGTGGTGGTGATGGGTGATGGATAAGCTGTGAAAACAAAGCAAGATACTGGAGTGGTTGTGAATGGGAGGGAGACAGAGGTGGTGCTGCCGATACAACTCTCAAAAGCGACAGATTAAAAAAAAAGATAAACTAATCCATCCTAAATCTTGTAATTCATTCAACTCCAATCATTCAAAACTACAGATAAAAAGCCTTTCACTTCGATCAACTCACAGCTCATAAAACGACAGCTTAATCTTACAACGACACAGCTTAATTAACCCTCATCATCTGAAGTGACGGGAGGTAACATTTCACGAGCCACGACTTCTGGAACGACGAATTACCGTCTCTCTTTTCTCTCTCTGTTCCATCCTCTCGTACAGGTTTTTAGAACGAGGAAGCAGCCATGCGAGTCGTCGACCATGACATTCAGAGTCAAATGAAAGAGGAGTCTGGTCGACCCTTCAAGGTAGAGATTACTGATTAGCGGGGCCGTGGCAGGTGAGAAAATGTTCTTGCTTGGATATTATTCTTCTAAAGATACAGAAAAGGTTTGAGATTTTAATGTGAATTCTATTAGTCTCCAACTGGGTATTAGAGAAGGAAAACTTTACGTCGGAAAAGTTGAAATAAGTTTTAAAAGTTGTACATGATTTTTTTTTTTATCTATAATTTCTTTTCGTTAACTGAGTATAAGCTAACACTTTCCATTGGTGTTGGTACCAAAAATGTCGTAGCTTAAGTGAGCCAGTTAAATACCTTCTCATACCCACTGTTAAGGCGACAAACTTAACTCACGAACTTTTCAAGATCCATTTTGCTCTTGGATACTTTCCGACTTCTACAGTTACCAAGAAAAAAAAAATCTTGAGAACTGAAAAAAAAAAAAACCTGACAACGCAAAAATAAAGTGTTTCTTCAGTTATTAATCATATCAGAGCGACCGTCATCGTGTCCGTAGCGTCCGTGATCTGTATGTAGCGTCCTTGATCTATCCTCCCCGTAGACGCTATGGTTCTTGAAGGAGTGGTGGCCCTGGTGGATTTTCTTGAAACTAACCCCAGCAATTCCCAACACTTCACCCCTCCCTTCTCCCCCCTCCCACCTCACCCTACTGGCCCTTTCACCCACGTAAGCCCTCAGTCAGCAGGCGGCGGTATAGGTAAGGGTCTGTTCCCACCCACCCAGGCGTTGATAATCCCACCTGAGCCTGAAGGTGTGTGTGTCTGTGAGGTAAGGTAAGAACTGGTTGGTGCTGTACCTGTCCATTACCTGTTGGGGAAATTTGTGTTTTTATTTCGTCTTTTTTTTTTGTAGGAATGGAAGATGTTTGTGGGTATTTTTGTTATGTTTCTTTCCCTGTTTATTTGATTGTTTATTAATTTATTTATCTATTTATCTCTTTTTATCGCTTTATTTCTCTAGTACCGTCTTTTTTCATCTCTCTTTTTTCTGTCTATTTTTTTAAGACTGACAAAATATAGAAAATAGAATAACAGAGGCAATAACTCCTGAGAACTAACCCCCTTTTTTCCCCCCTCTCTCTCTCTCTCTCTCTCTCTCTCTCTTACCGTTTTCCTATTTTTTTTTTACCCACGAACTCTAAATTCTAAACCACCTAACCCCACCTCTCCCCTTCTGCGACTAGGAACACCCTCATTCAGCCTATATACACCTGCAGGTTCTTCGTCAGGTGAAATGGCTCCCCCAGGTGTCCATACTCCGGCAGGTAAAAGCTTGGATAATGGTCTTAAAATCCCAAGCATCTCATTCCCAGGACAAAGTTCAGTTAAGGCATTCCTTGTGTGGTCTGTTTCAATAACCTTTACGGCGTCCAGATGAAGTTTGGGACTTTCCGGAGCTGTGTGGGTGTGGGCGGTGGGTGGTGGGTGGGCGTAGGAGGGCGGATAAGTGTGTGTGTGTGTGTGTGTGTGTGTGTGTGTGAAAGAGAGAGAGAGAGAGAGAGAGAGAGAGAGTGTGAGAAAGAGTATACGTGAGTACTTGCGTGGGTGCGTGCATGAGTGCGTGCGTGTTCTATTTTAGTTCACTTGTTTATGTATGTGTGTATGAGTGTACGTATTTCTTTATGTGTATTTCTTTATGTATTTATGTATTATCTATGCATGTGTGTGTGTATGTATGATTACAATTAATACCCACCTGTATCGCCTAGCCTCCCTCTCTCTCTCTCCCTCCCTCCCTCTCACCATAACAACCCATTCCCTCTCTTTCCCATTCACTATGACATCCTTCCCCCTTCACCCTCTCCCTTCACCTTCTCCCTCACCCTCCCCCTCCCCCTCACTCTCCCCCCTCACCACAACATCCCATTCCCTCTCACTCCCTCTCACCATGACACCCTCCCCTCTCACCTGGTAAAAGTCTCAAGACCTTCCTCAAAATTACAGGATTTACGACGTTGTTATGGACGAGGAACCGGCGACGTCAAGGTGTCTCGATACCTCACACACACACACAGCTAAAAGTTATTAACACAAACAATAATAATGTTGTCAAATCCCTTCATTCCATGTCTTGGTTCCTCTTCAGTTGTTGATTGTGTTTGTGTTGTGGTGGGTTGTGTTTGTGTTGTGTTTGTGTTGTGTTGGTTTTGTGTTTGTGTTGTGTTTGTTTTGTGCTTGTGTTGTGTTTATGTTGTGTTGGTTTTGTGTTTTGCTTGTGTTTGTGTTTTGTTTTGTTTGTGTTTGTGTTGGGTTGTGTTTGGGTTATTGTTTGCTTGTGTTTGAGTTGTGTTTGTGTCTGTGTATGTTTGAATAGAGTTATGTGGAGATTTTTATATGATTATTTGATTATTTATTTCCAAAGTTTATTTCACCTGAAGAACGACCACCCTAACGCAATCTGGGGTGGGGTGGGGTGGGGTGGGGTGGGGTGGGGTGGGTGGGGAGGGGTGGGGTGGAGAAGGTTAGGTTAAGGTTAGTTAGTTTAGGTTAATGTGGATAATCTACAGGTAAAATATAAGCTAAATAAACTATGTATCGAATCTTCATGTAATCCATTTTCTTCAACCAGTCTTGACCCAGAAATGACCTGTCACTCCAGAAGAAAATTTAATCGCGTTCTATTCAAGATTTTGTCCCGAAAGTAAGTTTATATATTAATAAGCTCAAAAACACTAACGGGGATATTTTTTTCCAGCGTTGGCGACCTTTTGGACCACACGCTGTTAAACTGCCTCCATGAACACAAAGGATTGGAAGGCTATCGGGACTGAGTATCCAATCATATTTTAGATCAGGTAAGAATGGAAACTAAGATTGGAATTATTCATATGCATCAGTTTCAGCTCTAATATAATCCGAACACAGTTTATGTCATCTCACAGACACACAACAATTAACATAGACCACAGTTACTTTCTCAACACACAGCAAACACTACCGTAATGTTTAGCCCAGTGTAGGATGGCAGAGTCCGCTGGTCACGCCTTGCTCCCTTGATATTTACTTCTAGCAGCATCCGGTATGACCTTATGTGACCCCGGGGCACGTGGAGCCATAAAAACTGGAGGAGAGCAGTTCCACCTGACCTCGGACTGGGTATATATAGTCTCGCCTCAGCTTACAGTCACTATCTACATCTTGTCTTCACTCAGACAACGTCCTCAGCCCGTCATCACTCAGCCATCATGAAGCTCGTGAGTACAAGACCATTACAAATATAGTCATCTCGTGTTTACAATGTTATATTCCTCCTGGCAATTGTAAATATTTTCAGCTAGCGAGATGAAAGATGCAAATCTTAGTATATTTTTGCAATAATGTCTTAACTGTATTCATGGTTCGTCGTTATAGGTAATCTTCGCCTGCCTCGCCGCCGTCGCTGTCGCCGCCCCCCAGTTTGGTCGACAGTTCATCCAGCGGGACCGCCCACTTCGACCAGAATACCGACCCATCGCCATCTTGAGGGACAACAGGTACGATAACGGCGACGGCAGCTTCAGCTACGACTTCGAGGGAGAGAATGGCATCTTCGCAAGCGCTGTTGGCCGTCGAAGCTCACAGGGCCAGAGCAACATTGAGGGCTCCTACAGGTGAGTGTCTTGCCCTTCACCTGTCATTGGTATACTTATTGGACCTGAGGGAGTAAGAACAAGATAAAGAAGTTGTCCCTCAAATATATTTTAAAACAAAACTTATTTAGGATTGCGATGGGAAGTAACACATCCGCTGTGCACGTTCGAAAAGAGAATTTCTCCTGAGGTTTAACCACAACACCTTCACTTTCTGCCACTCTCAGGGACACAGAACACAGCATATTGCTAGAACCATACAGTCAACACCTATAAGAGCCAGTATTGCGTCTATGAATACCTCAGTAACACACACAGACACACACACAGACACCCATATCTGTATGTTTATATTAAGCTGTGCAGATAATTATATGCCTATGTCTGCACAGACGTAGGTTAGTGTGTTGTAGTTACACTTGTACTCTCAGAGTATCACCACCTTTCCCTCTCCCTTCCACAGGTTCACCCTCCCTGACGGCACCCTGGCTGATGTCCGTTATATTGCTGATGAGAACGGCTTCCGCGCTGAGTCCCCGCTGATCCCCACCCCTCACCCCCTCCCCGCCCACGCCGTCGAGCAGATCCGCGTCGCCGAGGAGCAGCGCCGCCGTGGCATCATCTGGGATTAGGACACTGGCCAAGATATATCTTACCACCGAAACTTTAGTAAAGAGTAGGACGTGGCGGTGAGGACGACGTCTACCAAGAGGAACAGGAAGTAGCTGCCACCTGAGTCCACCTCGCCTGCTGCAGAATGCTTCTTGTTCCATCGAAATAAAGAGAAGATTATGCTAAATTCATCTCACTTTCTCTATCCTGAATTATATGTCTCTTCCATATAAATCATAAAGATGCAGGTATACCTATCTGTGTGTCCACACTATGAATTACCAAAGAAACAGTTAAAAACTCTTATGTCTCTAACCTCTGGAGTGACCTAGCCTGACACTGACAGGTTAACCACAACACCCGAAGAAGAGCAGCACCACCTGGCCCCGTACTAGGTATATAAAGCCTCGTCCCAGCTCACACACATCGTCTTCAGCCCGTCCTAGCAGTCACCATCCTCAGCCCGTCCCCACTCAGCCAACATGAAGCTCGTGAGTTGAAGTCGAAAGAAACACAGAATTATAATATTTTTAATGTTATAGTCACACTGATAGTTGATAAACAATTTGAAAAGCATCCAGAAAAAATCCCAGTACGTAATAGAGCGTTGAACCAAACTATACAGCATGGTTAATTGACGTGTCTTTCTCTCTTGTCACACCTAGATGGTCCTCGCCTGCCTCGTCTCCGTCATCGCCGCCTTCCCACCGTCAGTATCGTGAGCATCAGTACCTCAGTTATAGGTTATACCGTAATGCTTGGTTCTTTTATTTGTATTAGATAAACTGAAGTTGGTGAAGACTGACAGACACACACACACACACACACACACTTGGTCTTATTTCCATCCATTCATTAAAAACTCACAATGACGTAAATAGTAAACACCAACACACCACAGCTGATATCCCGGTGATGATGTAAGTCTCACTCCGATAGTCACAATCGTCCATTCATCCTACACCTCACTACTACGGTCACGCCCTCCGTCAGTACCGTGGGGGTGTTGACACAATACTTCCTTACAGCTCCATCACTCCTGAATATTACTGAGGCTAAAGTGACAGATGAGATTATGTTGAATTCTGCATCACGGCTCTTTGTTCCCCGCTGTGTGTGTGTGTGTGTGTGTGTGTGTCTATACTGTATATACTGTATGGATATGTATACCTGCATCTATCTGTATACATGATTGTCGTTGCACCAAAATAAGTCAGGGTGTTTTAGCAATACACATTATCATTCATCTCTTTCAGATTCTCAAAGTACTTTCTATCTTTTCTTCTCCCTCCCTCAGGTTCCCCCTCCCTGACGACACCCTGGCTACAGTCCCTTATGTTGCCGAGGAGCAGCGCCGTCTGAGAGTCGGAGGAAGACGTGACTGTGGGGACGATGTCTGTCAAATAAAACAAGTAGCTGCCTTAAGCCACTAGATTCCGCTTCGCCTGCTGTACAATGCTTCTTGGTCCGTCGAAATAAAAGCTTATCTATACGAAATACATCTCACTTTCTCTCTCCTGACTGAGTGACTATATTTTTAACCTGAAGGGAAATGGTTTTATTATGATAGTTTCAGCGAAAATAAAGCAAATTTATGTTTAATATAACTCATCTTTTACACAATTAAAATTAAGGAAGTGATCATATGTTGATCAAACCTAATGTGTCTGCCGAACTTACCCAGCGTCAGAAACTCACAGACTAACATTATCATCTACGTCACCTGGCATCCTCACAGGTCGGCATACAATAGAAGATAATTTTAGAGAGGAGACCAAAGTGACACACTCACACACACACTCACACACACACACACACACACACACACACACACACACACACACACACACACACACACACACAGCACACACACACACACACACACACACACACACACACACACACACTCACACACACACACACACACACACACACACACACACACACACACACACACACACACACTCAGTATGAGGTACTGTAAAATCGTTATTACTTTATGTTACGAATGAAATCTTTGTCTGGACTTATAAACCAGAATTGTTTGTATGTGCAGGTGTGTTCAAGGTAAATTTTCCATCTGCCCTGAACACATTACACCTCCCCCTACACCACTTGGTGTAGAGACATCAAGTCAGGAGACTTCAGGGTGTAAATAGATTGCGCTCGGAAATATATAAACAGAGGCAATTCTTCTCCTGTGGTTCTTAGGTGAGTACAATATTGTGTTTATGTCTGTATGTGTGACGCTGGCAACCAAAGTTAGGATAGATAAACCTGAATAGGTGATCCTTCCCTGGGTACTCATGGCAACATACAGCCTGAGTCAATGTCTACCATGAGAACATAACCCTAAACTTTGTTTTCATGCGAATAGATTTTAATTTTTTTCTTTGGTTTTAAATATTTTTCTTCCACTAAAATCCTACAAAAAAAGGTAAATCTGTCTGTGTCCCAACTATGAATTCCCACAGAAACAGTTAAAGACTTTTATGTCTTTCAAGAGCCAGGAGCCGGCTTGAGGACCTGGGGCCAGAATTGTAGAGCTTTACTCAACTGTGCTGTGGTCTAGAACGGGAGTGAACCTTGAGTTAGATGTATCGAAGCGCTCCGGACCCTTCAGCTAGAGGTGACTCCTGGCTCTGGCTTCGGAGCTCTATCAACTGAATAACATACATTATACCCCTGTTGGATCAATACATCATTTAGTTGAAGATAATCATAAGGTCATGTATCTGGTAGTATAATGAACCATGAGATGTAGTGAGGTAAACAAACCGACGTCGACAGATAATTGGTGTTTAGAGTTAAAAACAATCTTTATATATATACAAATGTTTTATCACAACTTCTCATTCATGGAGTAATTTTATAAATTTTCCTCCAGAAATTCATAACTGATTCTTTTCGAGATGTTTATCAGTTATATAACTTACTTAAAATGTACTTTAATTACATTTTTCTTAATACATTTACATTCACAAGAAGGTTTATGTCCGACCTATGTGTTGTGATGTATGATGACGATGTTGCTTTCTAGAAATCTTTGTACCTGTGTTAGTCTTTCTCAATAAGTATCTTGATAATTAATTAAATAGTATTGGTTGACGACAATTTTTTCGTGTATAAATATTGTATTAATAATTTTGTCTCTTGTTCTTCTCGTACGTCAGTTGTTTCCTCCCATTAACATTCTCTCATCACCTTCTCTCTCCACGTCCTTCTCATTCATCAATTTATCATGACTCTCATTTACCATTATAACTCCTTCAATATGAACAAATCCAAAAAAAAGAAACGTTTAGTATATGACAGACTCGGTCGATACTCCAACACCCACGTCACTCTAATTTGCACAACAACGACAGAAACCTCAGGAGTGACCTCGCCTGACACTGAAAGGTTAACCGCAACACCCGGAGAAGAGCAGCACCACCTGACCTCGTAGTAGGTATATAAAGCCTCGTCCCAGACTCACACACATCGTCTTCAACCCGTCCTCGAGCAGTCACCATCCTCAACCCATCCCCACTCAGCCAACATGAAGCTCGTGAGTTGAAGTCGAAGGAAAGACAGAACTGTGATGTTTTTAATGTTAAATTCACAATGATAGTTGATAAATATTTATGAAAGAATCCAGAAAAAAAATCCATTGTTGATTAGACATTTCAACTGAACTGTACTGTACATTAGGTGTTTTTGTTCCTTGTCACACACAGGTAGTCCTCGCCTGCCTCGCCGCCGTCGCTGTCGCCGCCCCGCAGTTTGGTCGACAGTTCGCCCCTGAGACTCGACCAGACTACCGGCATATTGCTATCATAAGGGACAACCGGCAGGATAACGGCGACGGCAACTTCAACTACGACTTCGAGACTGAGAATGGCATCATCATGAACGCTGTTGGCACCCCAGGCTCCAAGGGCCAGAGCAACATCCAGGGCTCCTACAGGTGAGTCCTGCCATACACATTTCGTTATATCCTAGAACAATATACTCAACACACGTAACAACCAGCATTATGGCCATAGGTGCCTCGGCCGTAAGTAATACCGTAATACTTGCTTGTGAGACGTTAAGATGTAATACTCCTGAGACTCTTGTTTCTTATATACACTGAAACTGATGAAACAGAGGTATAGTGTACAGCATTTTACGTGTGTGTGTGTGTGTGTGTGTATACCTGAGTTTGGTAGCACTTACATGTGTATATATACCTGTATCTACCTGTGCATGTTATTGTGGATGCTATACATCTTGTCATCTATCTCCTTCAGCCTCTCAGTGTATCCTTACTTATCTATCTCCCTCTCTCAGGTTCCCCCTCCCTGACGGCACCGTGGCTGAGGTACGTTATGTTGCTGACGAGAACGGCTACGTTGCTGAGTCCCCCCTCATCCCCACCCCTCACCCCCTCCCCGCCCACGCCATCGAGCAGATCCGCATCGCCGAGGAGCAGCGCGCCCAGGGCATCGTCTGGGATCAGTATGGGTTTAGAGTGAACAGGAAATGAAGGGAGTAGGACTAAGGACAAGATGTATCATGCCGTCAGGAACCCTAGTGAAGAGGACCACGTGACGGTGAAGACGACGTCTACCAAGAGGAACAGGAAGTAGCTGCCTTGAGCCACTAGAGTCCACCACTACGCTTGCTGCAGAATACTTATTGTTCCAACGAAATAAAATCTTGTTTATATTAAATGTATCTCACTTTCTTTCTCCTGAATGAGTGATCATATAATGATTGTTTCAGAGAATTATGAAATAGCTTATTTTAAGGACAGGTCACATTTTTAACCTGAAGGAAAAAGACTATTATCTTGATAGTTCCTGCGAGATTAAAGAAGTCTATTCAACAGCAAGTTCACTTCCATCACCCTTAAGGAAGTGAACATATCATGATCTCTCTTAATGTCTGTCGATTTTACCAAGCGTCACTGATTCACAAACTAACAAACATTATCAACTGCGTCACCTGCCATCCTCACAGGGCGGGACACAATGAATGCCAGGTAGAGAGGAGACCGCCATCAACACTCAACACGAGGCAAAATTATCACTACATTATCTTGCGAATGAAATATTTGTCTTTACCTATAAACCAGAGTTGTGTGTGTGTGTGTGTGTGTGTGTGTGTGTGTGTGTTCCGGGTAAGTCTTTCCATCTGTTCTAGACACATCAGGACCCCCTGAAGACTACACAACCGGAAACTCTAAGTATAAATATATGCCGCTCGTAGAGATATAAACAAAGGGAACTCTCCTCTTGTGTGGCTCTTCGTGGATACAAATGTGTTTTATATATACTAGTGTGACGCTCGTAGCCTTGGTCATGATAAACAAAACTACACGTGTGGTCCTGTCATGGCAACAACAGCCTACATGTGTCTACCATGACTGATCAGGATAACAAATATACCTAAAGCGTTTGAGTCTCAGGATAATTACGTGTCATTGTTATGCTTATCACTCCTTCGAAAACTTCCTTAGGAAATTAATAGATTAATATTTGTATAATGAGAATGTGTTTTAAGTCTTATTGGGAGTAAATTAAGGAAATTCATTAAAAAATATCAATAACATATAAGTACAAGTTTGGGGAGAAATAAATATATGAATTAACATTAAGGTTATGAAGACGTAATATAAATCTCTTTGATCCCAGACAGACAAACGTATATATGTCTCTACCATAAATAAACATAGTAACCATTTTATTCTTAATTTCTTCTCCCACACGATCAATAATGAGTCTGTCCCTCTCAGGTACACCACAAAATACACCTGGCACCATACCTCAAGTGTCTCACCTGCAGGAGTCGAACCCACGAGTACCAGATGACAGACCCACTCAGCCATCAGCTCAACTCGGTGAAGGAAGACATTAGCTAACTCAGTATCCTCGTATGATATATAACTGGTTAGGTGATAAGTCTTAATAAGCAGTGAGGTAATTAGAGGTAAATGAGAGAGGTAGTTGATGTTTGTAGTCAAGATGTCTTATTGTACAGTAAACTTATGACCAGTACAACAGTGATCTTGGCTTTCCATTTTCCGGTAGCATTTTCGACTTTTTCCTCCAGATTTCCAATAGCCGCTTTTGTCTGAGGTGTATATCAATACACTTTTTGTTCACATGTGGTTTATTGTCCAGCTTTTGTGGTAGACTTTGATATTGGTCACTTTCTGGAGTCATTGTACGTGTGCTGCTCCTCCTGATATCTTGAAATTGAAATACAGTTTTTATTCATATATTTATTGACGATATTTTTTGTGTATATTTTTATCTTATTACTTGTTTTATCTCTACCATCTATATTGTTTTTCCTTCCATCAAATACAGTCACCATTTTTTAACATTCTTCACAAAACTCATTTACCTCAATGGCTTCTTCAGGATCAATAACCTTCACAAAAAAATCATCTTCTTTTACATGTCAGACTTGGCTGTTATTCCCACACTTGACGACACTTTTAACTTCTTGCGCCACAGTCTACAACATCCGGAGTGACGTCCCCTGACCCGTACAGGTGAATCACAATACCTAGAGGATAACAGCACCACCTGGCCTCAAATTGGGTATATAAGGCCTCCCACCAGCCCTCAGGCATCATCTTCACCCGGTCCTCTTGCAGTCAACATCCTCAGCCCATCCTCCGTCAGCCATCATGAAGCTCGTGAGTTCAAGTCGAAGAAAATAAGTTATGTGATGATCTTGAGGATTCACAGAAGATTTTTGTTCCAAGGTGTATCTTTATGGTTAAGGGAGATGTTTTTGTTCCATGTCACACCCAGGTGGTCGTCGCCTGCCTCGCCGCCGTTGCTGTCGCCGCCCCGCAGTTTGGTCGACAGTTCGCCCCTGAGACTCGACCAGACTACCGGCATATTGCTATCATAAGGGACAACCGGCAGGATAACGGCGACGGCAACTTCAACTACGACTTCGAGACTGAGAATGGCATCATCGTGAACGCTGTTGGCACCCCAGGCTCCAAGGGCCAGAGCAACATCCAGGGCTCCTACAGGTGAGTCCTGCCATACACATTTCGCTATATCCTAGAACAATATACTCAACACACGTAACAACCAGCATTATGGCCATAGGTGCCTCGGCCGTAAGTAATACCGTAATACTTGCTTGTGAGACGTTAAGATGTAATACTCCTCAGACTCTTGTTTCTTATATACACTGAAACTGATGAAACAGAGGTATAGTGTAGAGCATTTTACGTGTGTGTGTGTGTGTGTGCGTATACCTGAGTTTGGTAGCACTTACATGTGTATGTATAACTGTATCTACCTGTGCATGTTATTGTGGATGCTATACATCTTGTCATCTATCTCCTTCAGCCTCTCAGTATATCCTTACTTATCTATCTCCCTCTCTCAGGTTCCCCCTCCCTGACGGCACCGTGGCTGAGGTACGTTATGTTGCTGACGAGAACGGCTACGTTGCTGACTCCCCCCTCATCCCCACCCCTCCCCCCCTCCCCGCCCACGCCATCGAGCAGATCCGCATCGCCGAGGAGCAGCGCGCCCAGGGCATCGTCTGGGATCAGTATGGCTTTAGAGTGAACAGGAAATGAAGGGAGTAGGACTAAGGACAAGATGTATCATGCCGTCAGGAACCCTAGTGAAGAGGACCACGTGACGGTGAAGACGACGTCTACCAAGAGGAACAGGAAGTAGCTGCCTTGAGCCACTAGAGTCCACCACTACGCTTGCTGCAGAATACTTATTGTTCCAACGAAATAAAATCTTGTTTATATTAAATGTATCTCACTTTCTCTCTCCTGAATGAGTGATTATATAATGATTGTTTCAGAGAATTATGAAATAGCTTATTTTAAGGACAGTTCACATTTTTAACCTGAAGGAAGAAGACTATTATCTTGATAGTTCCTACGAGATTAATGGAAGTGTATTCAACAGCAAGTTCACTTCCATCACCCTAAGGAAGTGCACATATCATGATCTCTCTTAATGTCTGTCGATTTTACCAAGCGTCAATGATTCACAAACTAACAAACATTATCAACTGCGTCACCTGCCATCCTCACAGGGCGGGACACAATAAATGCCAGGTAGAGAGGAGACCGCCATCAACACTCAACATGAGGCAAAATTATCACTACATTATCTTGCGAATAAAATATTTATCCTTACCTATAAACCAGACTTGTGTGTGTGTGTGTGTGTGTGTGTGTGAGTGTGTCTGCGTGTGTGTGTGTGTGTTCAGGTAAACTTTTCCATCTGTTCTGGACACATCGGACCCCCTGGAACTACACAACCGGAAACTCTAAGTATAAATATATACCGCTCGTAGAGATATAAACAAGGAACTCTCCACTCTTGTGTGGCTCTTCTACGTGGATACAAATGTGTTTTATATATACTAGTGTGACGCTCGTAGCCTTAGTCATGATAAACAAAACTACGTGGTCCTGTCATGGCAACAACAGCCTACATGTATCTACCATGACTGATCAGGATGGCAAATATACCTAAGCGTTTGAGTCTCAGGATAATTACGTGTCATTGTTACATGCTTATCACTCCTTCGAAAACTTCCTTAGGAAATTAATAGATTAATATTTGTATAATGAGAATGTGTTTTAAGTCTTATTGGAATGAATTAAGGAAATTCATTAAAAAATATCAATAACATATAAATTACAAGTTTGGGGAGAAATAAATATATGAATTAACATTGAGTTATGATGACGTAATATAAAATCTCTTTGATCCCACACAGACAAACGTATATATATGCTCTACCATAAATAAACATAGTAACCATTTTATTCTTAATTTCTTCTCCCACACGATCAATAATGAGTCTGTCCCTCTCAGGTACTACAAAATACACCTGGCACCATACCTCCAAGTGTCTCACCTGCAGGAGTCGAACCCACGAGTACCAGATGACAGACCCACTCAGCCATCAACTCAACTCGGTGAAGGAAGACATTAGCTAACTCGAGTATCCTCGTATGATATATAACTGGTTTAGGTAATAATTCTTAATAAACAGTGAGGTAATTAGGGTAAATGAGAGGTAGTTGATGTTTGTAGTCAAGATGTCTTATTATTTTGGTAAACTTATAGGCAGTACAACAGTGATCTTGGCTTTCCATTTTCAGTAGCATTTTTCGACTTTTTCCTCCCAGGTTTCCAATAGCCGCTTTTGTCTGAGGGTGTATATCAATACACTTTTTCATGTGGTTTTATTGTCTGGCTTTTGTGGTAGACTTGTGTGCACTGGTCACTTTCTGGAGTCATTGTACGTGTGCTGCTCCTCTGATATCTTGAAGTGAAATACAGTTTTTATTCATATATTTATTGACGATATTTTTGTGTATATTTTATCTTATTACTTGTTTTATCTCTACCATCTATATTGTTTCCTTCCATCAAATACAGTCACCATTTTTTAACATTCTTCACAAAACTCATTCACCTCAATGGCTAGCTGGGATCAATAACCTTCACAAAAAATCATCTTCTTTTTACATGTCAGACTTGAAAACAATTTATTCCACTTGACGACGCACCCAACTTCTTGCGCACAGTCTACAACATCCGGGTGACGTCCCTGACCCGTACAGGTGAATCACAATACCTAGAGGATAACAGCACCACCTGGCCTCAAATTGGGTATATGGGCCTCCCACCAGCCCTCAGGCATCATCTTCACCAGG